TCCCCTCCCTGGGGATAAATTGGCAGTTAATGTAAGGAAATACAAGGGAACTCAGTCCCTAATAGACTGACTCATGTGGGTCATTAGGGACACTTGGTTAGCTCTGGCTGAGAGCCCCATTAATTCCATGCCCTGCAAGACAGAAAAGAACTAGAATTACTGGGAACTAGGCATGAAAGAGGCACTTTTGATGGCCAGATCCAAATAGCACTGTGTTCACAGGAGTTGAGAAAGAATTGGGTTTGGGACTTCAGCTCAATCAGGAAACAGCTTGCCTTGCAAGCACAAAGACCTCAGTTTGATCTCCAGAAAGCCAGGCATGATGGCATGTGGCTGGAACCCTAGCAGGGGGAAGGTGGAGAAAGGTGGGTTCAGTGGCTTTCTGGCCAGCTAGCCTATTCTACTCTCAGCAGCCTCTGAGACTGTGATAGACTAGCTTAAAAAAAAGGGGGGTGGGGGTGCCGCCTGAGCAATGACAACTGAGGCTGTCCTCTGGCCTCCACAGGCACACAAATGTGGGGACGTGCGCGCACACATACACACACACAGCTGCAAAAAGGTCGATTCAGCATGGATGTGTGCATTGTTATAAGCCGGGTGGTGGTGGCGCACGCCTTTAATCCCAGCACTCGGGAGGCAGAGCCAGGTGGATCTCTGTGAGTTCGAGGCCAGCCTGGGCTACCAAGTGAGTCCCAGGAAAGGTGCAAAGCTACACAGAGAAACCCTGTCTCGAAAAACCAAAAAAAAAAAAAAAAAAAAAAAAAAAAAGACTTTAGTGTGGTGCCGGGCAGTGGTGGGGCGTACACCTTTAATCCCAACACTGGGGAGGCAGAGCCAGGCGGATCTCTGTGAGTCCGAGGCCAGCCTGGTCTACAGAGCAAGATCCAGGACAGGCAGGCACCAAAAAAGTCCACAGAGAAACCTTGTCTTGAAAAACAAAAAACAAACAAACAAAGACTTTAGTGGCTTTTGCTGAGCCCCATGATGGGTCATGGTCGTTACAAGGTATAACTGACTCTGGAAGTTCAGCTGGTTTAGACTGGCCTGTAGGCCAGGTTCATGAAGTGCGAAAACAATCAGGAGGGCGCAAGGAATAACAAAGGTAAGATTAGAGTAGGGTGGGGGTCTCTAAGCAGAAAATCTAGCAGAAGCCAAGTTCAGGTTTCTGAGCCCCTGAAAGGCTCTAAAGGCTGGGCAGAGGTTTAAGAAGTGTAAATGAAACCGCAGTGCAGATACAAACTAAATTTGCTCCCGCACCTGCTGAATCAACGCCCAACTACCTCTGCTGCTCATGCTGACACAGCTTGATACTTTCTGGGGGCCACCCGCCCAAACGGCACCTTCTTATCTTTGGGTAGTCTCTGAAAACGGCGCTTTTGACTGGAACCAGTTCCTTTGGGAGATGAGTGAAGACATCATTTTCTTCATGGCATGTCTTCCTGCCTTGGCAACATATTCCTGGGTTGGCTATCAGATTGTCACCGACTTTTATAAACCCCGTGTCTTAGGGTTTCTATTGCTGTGGAGAGACACCATGACCACAGCCAACTCTTACAAAGGAAGACATGTAATTGGGGCTGGCTTACAGTTCAGAGGTTTAGTCCATTCTCATCATGGCAGAAAGCATGGCGGCATGCAGGCAGACATGGTGCTGGAGAAGGAGCTGAGAGTTCTACATCTGGATCCCCAGGCAGCAAAAGGAGAAACTGTAGAGGGCGTGGCTTGAATATATATGAGCCCTCAAAGCCCACCCCTTCCTCAAGGCCACACCTACTCTAGTAAGGTCACACCCCAATAGTGCCACTCCCTATGGGCCAAACATTCAAACACATGAGTCTTATGAGGGCCACACCTATTCAAACCACAACACCCTAGCCCCCAGAAATGTTAAATACAGTTTAGTCCTGCTATATCTGGTCCCCCCAGGAGAGGGATGTGTAGATGGATTTTCTTTGGGCCACCAGCTCACAAAAAAATGACACAGAGACTTATTCACTATGAAAGCTCAGCCTGTAGCTTAGGCTTGTCCCACTATCTCTTACAACTTAAACTAACCCATTTATATTAATCTACATTTTGCCTCATGGCTTTTTACCTCTCTTCCATCTTGCACCTCCTGTTTCCTCTCCGTGACCACTGGCATCTCTCTTCCCCCTCGATTCCTCTCCTTTTCCCCTCTCTCTGCCTAGAAGTCCCGCCAACCTCTTCTTGCCTAGCTGTAGGCCATTCAGCTCTTTATTAGACCAATCAGAAGGTGCCTTGGCAGAGACACATCTTCACAGTGTACAAAATGATTGTCTCACAACAGGAACGCTCTCTTGCTCCTACCCCGACAGTGCAATCAAAGCTGTATAGTGCACCCTGATCCTACCAAGTCAAATTCTGCCAAGGTCTATGTGTGAGCTGTCTCAGCCTGGGGGCAAGGTGAGAGACAATGGCCTCCTGGTCACTCCATCCCTTAACACCATGCACAGTTCTCTGGGAGGGTGGGAGAGATTGGGTAAGGAAGACAAAAAATGGGGAGGGTATGTAGCTAGATTTCCTGTGTCCCAGCCTGCCAGTGATCAGGACAAATCTCCCTCACCTGCCAGTCCCACAGCCACTGGGACCCAAGTAAACACACAGAGTCTTATATTATTTACTAACTGCATGGCCATTAGCTCAAGCTTATTACTGACTAGCTCTTACACTTAAATTAACCCATAATTCTTACTTATGTTTAGCCATAAACATAAGTACCTTTCCCAGTTCTGCCTTCACATCTTGCTTCCGAAGTGTCTGGCTGGTGACTCCTGACTCAGCCTTCTTATTCCCAGAATTCTCCTCTCTCTTTGTCCCGCCTATACTTCCTGCCTGGCTACTGGCCAATCAGCACTTTATTTATGAACCAATCAGAGCAACACATTCACAGCATACAGAGCGATATCCACAGCAAGGGTATGCTTTTTGAAAAGTAATAAAAACCAAGTTTTCGAAAATAGAAAAAAAAAATACTAAGGTTGTCACAGGGGTAGGCAGTTATGCCTAGAGAGTAAGCTGTGCACAAATTATACCGGGACTGGAAACTGTTCACCCAACCCAGTGCCCTGGAGAAAGGCAGCTGTGGCCAATGGAGAGGTAGCAGCCAGCCACGCTCAGGCCCAGAGATGGTCAGGCTCCAGAAGCTTGATTCCAACCAGGAACAGCAGATGAGACCACAGTTATGCTCCCTGGTGACCCTGGGTCAGTCAGAGCAACATGAGTCAGGTCTGGCCTCACCAAAACTGTCGGTGGGGAGATGCATGGCAGCCCAGGATGAGACAGCAGAAGGGCTTAACTGGACTGCGGAGGCCTAACATAGTGCCTCCCACCCACGCTATACTCAACACTGATCCTTTGAGAAAATGATAGGACCTTGTGAACATTTTTCTTTGGGCGACCCTTAGCTGATTCCTGAGACCAACCTGTACTTGAAATGGTGGGTGGGTAGTGGACCTTCAGTGGTCCTGCCCACCCTTTACAAAAGGTTTTATTTGGTAGATGGCAGGATGCTAAGCTCTCCACGTTTGCAGACTTAGAAGAGGAGGATCTGAAAGCCACAGAAGCAGATCTAAAGGCCTGGGGCTGGACAAGCAGTTCACACTTGATGCAGAGACCAGGCACAGCTGTGAAATTCTTGGGAACTTCATGATTGAGCAAGGCACAGATGACACACAGGTTAATGATAGAAAAAGAAAATCCTCCAACATCCATGACTGTTAATGTTAAAACAAGAGTTTGAACGAAGGTACCCTGTGTGGGTAGAAAACGATGCTCCTAGAAGTCATAAATTATTGAATGAAAATTCCAGTGCCAGGGACAAGCTACCCCCCAATGAGCTGTTGGTCAAGGAGGCCGCCAAAACATTATTGATATTGCCGTTCGTGCCCAGCAGACCTAGACGGTAAGATCCTGTAGGTGAGGACAATGAACACTTTGGTTGCAGGACCCGGCAAAAGCGAGCTGGGACTGAGCTAGACACTTCCACCCTGCTGGCTAGTTTTATAAGACACTGTGCAGGCTGCTGGGAGAGAATCAACAGCAGCCGTCCTTCCCAAGCGTGGGCCCTGAGTGCTGTACTCCCAATATGCCAGGCCAGTTGTGCCCACAGCTGCAACAGTGGCCTGACTCTTAGGAGTAACCAACTGCTTTCCAATCGGAATTGAGGGCTGCTCCACAGGAAGAAAAACCCCGTCACTCTCAATTCAGTCAAAAGCCCAGAGCTGGGGAGATCACAGACACTAATGAGGAAGCTACTGTGGTTGGTTTTGCTAAATGGGCACAATGCCTGTGAAACCGCCTTCTGAGTATGTTTATGCCCCTGGACTGGTGCTCTGTTAGCTTTGGTCAGAGAAGCTTCTTTTTGCAGTGGGTGGTGTTTACGATGGGACACCTGTAACATACCCTCAAAATCTCAAGGATCATCCAAGAGCGTGTAGTGAGAAAGAATGTTAAGATCCAGAGGAGCGGGGAGTGTTGTGAGATGCTGTCCTCTGGTGGTGTCCTCTTGTACTCCCAGCAACTGTGGTCCCCTTCCCCGTGAGAACACAAGGTTGGGCACACTGGGTTTTCATCATGGAAGTGAGGAGGGGCTTGTGAGGTCCTGCACCCCGACCGGCCCCTGCCAGGATTTATAAGGAGTTAAGGTTGCTGAGGGAGAGATGTTTTTTGAGGGTTTTTTTTTTCTTTTTCTTTTTTAAATAGGATCTTACCCCAAACTGGGAATTGAACCTAGGGTTTTGTGCATGCTAGGTGTCAAGCTGGGCATTGCTAGGTATCAAGCTGGGCATGATGGTGTACACCTTTAACCCCAGCACTCCCCATGCAGAGGCAGGCGGATCTCTGTTGAGTTTGAGGCCAGCCTGGGCTACATAGTGAGCTCCAGGTCAGCCAATGAAACAGTCTCAAATAAATAAATAAATAAATAAATAAATAAATAAATAAATAAATAAATAAATAAACAAACAAACTCAAACTCAAACTTTGTATTCATGTATTTATTCCACAGTCAAGTAAATCATAACTTAAAGTCATAGCATTATTACAGGAGAATTTCTGGTACAGCTGTCTAAAGAGCAACCCTGACAGGTGTTCTCTTTCCCATGATGGAACAAATAGACGACATTTCACTAAGGAGCTGGGCGAGGCAAAGAACCCTTTGAAACCAACTGCCCGACAAACAAAGACAGATTGCAGTAATTTCTGTTAACATTTCGCTGCAAAGTGGGAAAGCCCAGGAGGCTAATCAAACCTTCATTTCACATGCCCGACCTCTCTAGCTCGTCTTCCTCAGTCACACTAAACCCAGACAGGCTTCTGTATTCCTGCTTAGACAGAGCCCTGAGCCCTGAGCCCAGACTGCCATTAATGAGGCCGCGAGCAACTTTCATCCAGAACCTCCAGGGAAATCAGGAGCACAAACATGGTTCAGTGTCATTTCCTCAAACAATAGTTTTAACTGTCAAATGAGTTCTGACATCTGACAGGCCATCTGCATTTCATAAACAACCAAAAGGCTTGTGTTCTTATCTTTTCCTTTGAGTGCAAAAATGTTAGTAGACCATCCAAGTGGAAAAAAAAACAAAACAGAGCTGAAAATTCAAAGGGTTTGTGCCACGAAGTACACCAGTCCTCCACGTATTCATTTGTTTTTGGGCTGCGCAGCCATGTAGAGGGCAATCAGGCAGTAGATGGTCCCTCCCACAGTCAGCGCCATGGTGGTCCGGTAAAGCATTTGGTCGGGAAGGCCTCGCTTCAGGTGGATGGGCACACCATCAGCCTTCTGCAAAGCAACGGTTGACAATGAGCTGGCTGGTGAGACAAGATTTCACAACAGACTGAAGAATACACTCCACCGTGCACTCCTCCATAAAGACGATGTACAGCTTCTACAGCCTTGACCGTATTCCTCTGCCCAGAGCAGGGCCCTGGGGAGTTTTGAAGAGCAACGACATCCGGCAGCTGAACAGCTCAGGCACATTCTCTGAGCATGTCTGCATTCAGCTGGCCCTGGTCACGGGGCGCACAGTCGGAACAGGTCAGTTAGTGACGCTCCAGTCCATTTGTAACCAGCGGGCCTTCCTTCCATCACCTGCTAAAGCTCTCGCTTGAAATCCAATTCTGGAGGATATTTAATTCATGCTTTGTACAGACTCCCATAGCCTCTTACATCTTACTCATCAGATTTAAAGGACTTACTCTGAGCAACATGAAAGTGGACCTGAACCTGAACATACTTCTGGGGGGAAGCTGTGGTGGGCTCCGCCACTCCCTGGCACGAGAGTCAGGTGACTCGGTTCTTGTTATCTCTAGGTAGATTAGTCATACTGAAGTGTCAGTTCTGGTTCTCTCTGTTGATGACCTAGCTAAGAGGGCTTCCACTTACACCAACAGCGCAGTGACCTCTATACCAAGCAAGCCAAACACGGAAGAAAAATGGCTGCACTGAGCTGGCAAGATGGCCCAGCAGCTATGAGCCCTTGCTGCTCCAGGTCAGTCCCTACAACCACCCGCAACTCCAGCTCCAGGGGATTCCAGTCTCTTCTGGCCTCTGCACACACATGACACACAGACACACACACACCATACATAAGTAGGACCACGCTACACAAGCAACCTGAGTTGCTCTATGAGTTAACAGATCAACCAAAAACCAAGAGTTCTAGTTAAAGATAAAGGAGACTGGGTAGACAGCAACACTAACGTAAACTCGGGTTTCAGAAGCTCCCACCCCAACACACACATCTCCGCATCCCAGCTCTCTGCTTGGGTCTTCACTCACCTGGAAGAATTTCTGCAGCTCTGGAACTCTGTTCTTCCCCGCATAATCGTATGCTGTGGGACTGGAGGTCAGTTTAGTCGGTGTGGCAAAGATGATAGGCGGTGCTTCGGTGGAAACCAAGGGCTTTAACCCCTGCAGGCAAGCAAAGGACAGCAGTAACCCATGAGTATGTCTGCACAGCCGAGCTATTTCCGGAGACAGGCTGGCTGGACTAACTATGTAAGGGAAGGAGCAGGGTCTCATCACTTGCATTATGAGGCCTTTGGGTGGTTCTCAACCCTCAGAGAAAACACCCTATCTGCTTTCCCAAACAAACTGTCAAGAACTCTACTCATGAGATGGGAAGGACAAGAAAGGCCCAATGTGAGCTTCAAGAAGTACTGTGTCTACAAGGACCTTGACGTCCCCTCTTCTCATCCATTTGGACTAATGTACTAACCCAGAGAGCCAAGTCAGTAAAGTGCTGTGCTTGTATGAAGGTCTGAGCTCACTCTCCAGCTCCAGAGAACCAGGCTGACCTCTGGTGCGCGCTCTCTCTCTCTCTCTCTCTCTCTCTCTCTCTCTCTCTCTCTCTCTCTCTCTCTC